GGGACGGGCAGCCGGGGAACCTCGGGGTGTTTCCGCCACAGCCGCGAGGCCCCAGGAAGCGCCGCTTTCCGCCGGGCTGGGCCCAGCAGGTTGGAAATCCTGAAAAAAATGGTCAGAAAAGGGAAAAACGCTGCTCCAGGCCCTCGGTGCCACCCTGTCTGCCTTCATCCCGAGGGAAAGCCCTTTCCCAGGAGCAGGGGGCACCCAGGGGGCTGCGGATGGGAACCGGGTGTCTTGTGAAACCGGTTGTCCCAATCCCGCTTCCTCCTTTCGCAGGGTCCCTTCCCCTTCTCACAGCCTGGGGGGATGGGACAGGGGGTCCTTCTACCCTCACCCACCACAAACAGGTTCCTTGACTCTGGATTCAACTTTTCCACCTCCTGAGCTGGTGAGGTCAGTGATGGAGCAGAAGGTGATGAGTTGGGAATCTCCCGGTGGGACATGATCCAGATCTGACACGTTGCCGTGGTTACAGTGATGCTTTGAGAGCTCAGTGCAAACCACTTTTGGGCCGGACATCCCGAACTAGGAGAGCTGTTGGGGTAAAGCCTTGGCAGAAAAGCTAATGGGGGAGCCCAGGGGTTCCAAACTGCCATCGGGAAGGGGATGGATAAATCCACCACATGCCAAGAAATGAGGAATTTAGTTTTCCCAGAACTTTGTTCCCCAAAAGTTGGCTCCTTCCCAGCTGGGGCACTGTGGCAGATGTCACTTTGGCAGAGTGATGGGAGGGTTGTCCTGTGCCAAGTGGTTTGAGATGTGCCGAGGTGGCTTTTTGGGATGGAGCAGAGGAAGAGCATCTTTGCTGCTGGGATGGGGATGCTCAGATGCTCCTGCTTGGAGCAGTGAGGATTCTTCTCCCTTTGCACATCAAGAGGCACTACTGGGAATATAGAACTGAAATTGCGAGTTGGGGTGTGGTGGAGGGAAAGCCAAAATCCTCTGGGAGTGTTGGGCTGGAGCCTGGGAATGGGGGCTGATGGGGACGGGGTCTGCTCCATCCAGGAGCTTTCCCTGATCTGGGCTTTGCCGCCTCTTCTCCCAGGTCCTGGGGGAGCACATGGCACACGTCACCACTGCAGATGTTTGCAGATGTTTGCAGATGTGCTCTTGGCCTCAGGGACGGGTCACCAGTGAGCCCTGGCCGAGTGTCGGCCTCGACTCAACCAGGAAACAAAGCTGGTGCTCGGCTTCCTGCTGGATCCACCCCCAGCCCGGTCCCAGCCCGGTGTCCAGGGCTGGCTGGGTGATGTGGGGCTGTACTGGGTGTCCCCAAGGGGGACACGTGCCCTGCGTGGGGAGGGAAGGGCTCTGTGAGCCGAGAGCTGCTGAACCAGGGACTGGAGAGGGTGTTTGTCCTCATGCAGGACTCCCCCGTGTGAACCAGGGGGGCATCCCAGGGTGGGCAGGCAGGGATCCAGCAGGGATGAGGACATGGGGGCAGAATCAGGCTCCTCTCCCCAGCCTGTGCTACAGCAGCCTCCCAAAATAGAGCCAGAGCCGCAGGCGGCAGCGGCCTCCCCCTCA